TGGGGGGGGGGTAGGGGCAGGGTTCGCAGGCGGCCCCCTAACCACTTCACCCGGGACGGGTGTTGCATCCCGCGAGCCGCTCTTGGGCGCTCCAGAGGCCCAGCGAGGGCCCCAGTCGCGGCCGAAAGCGGAGATTCCCAGACATCCGACGCCTCGATGGTTTCGAGGCTCGGGCCCCCGGCCTCCCGACCATTTGGGGGCCGCCTGCGAACCCCAAGCGAAGTGAACCCCACCCTCCCCCTCAGAAGTCGTGGGGGGAAGGGGCAGGGTTCGCAGGCGGCCCCCTAACCACTGCACCCGGGACGGGTGTTGCATCCCGCGAGCCGCTCTTGGGCGCTCCAGAGGCCCAGCGCGTGGGCCCCGATGGCGGCCGAAAGCGGCGGAGAGCCTGCGGCTCGCCCAATTGTCCCGAGACGCCCGACGTCTCCCTGACTCCGGACCCGCCCCACTTTTCAAGCCCCGCCCCAGACCCCCTCGAGTAATGAAAAAATCATGACGGGAGGTTTTTCCGAATTTTCGGCCTCTGAGGGCCCTCACCGGGCCTCGGGAGCGTCAAAAAACGACACAGGATGCAAAGCCGGTCATTGGGAAAGGGTCGGGGGCCTCTGGGGGTCGACGTAATGAAACAATCATTACGTCGGGGGTCTGGGGCTGATGCCAGTTTCCGCCCCGCTGTTCTGTGGCTGTTTCCGCCCTATACTTCTGTGGAATTCTGTTGGGTGCAGAAGTTTCCGCCCGACTTTCTGTGGATTTCCGCCCCACTTGCTGTTTGGGTGCAGAAGTTTCCGCCCTACTTTGTCGGCTTCTTATAGGTGGATGTCCAGCGCAATTGTAAGTCGGAAAACTTAGGGCGGGTCTGGAGTCAGGGCTGGGTTGTGCGGCCTTCCGCGGGAGGCTCACCCCCGAGCGCGCCGAGCGCAGCGTGCGCCGCGGCACCGCGCAGCCGTGCGCCCTGGGGCCGGCGCGAGGCTGGGTTTATGTCGGGCGTGTCCCCCTACAGGGGGATTTTCGACGAAACCTAAAAAATACCCCCCAAAATGCCCCCAAAAGGTCAAAACATACCCCCAAAGAATAGTCCCCAGGCTATTCTTGGACTATTTTTGGACTATTTGGGGGTATTTTTTACCTTTCGTCGAAAATCCCCCTGTAGGGGGACACGCCCGACTTAAGGCTGGGTCGAGCCCAGCGCGCCGGAGCGAGCTGCCCGAGCGAGCGCGCCGGCGAGGCCGGCGCGGGCCGAGGAGGCCTCGAGGCGAAGCAGGTGGCGAGGCGTCCCGGCTGGCCTGTGGGCCCTCCAGAGAGGGTGTGTCGGGGGCCCCAGACATCGGGCGTCTCGAAAAAATCCAGACAGAGGTTTTTCATAGTTTTTAGCCTCTCGGGGCCCTCGCCGGGCCTCGGGACCGTCAAAAACCGACTCGGGATGAAAAGCCGGTCCCAGGGAAGTGGTCGGGAGGTCGGGAAGCCCTCGAGCAATGAAAAAATCAATATGGGAGGTTTTGCCTGATTTTCGGCCTCCGGGGGCCCTCACTGGGCCTCGGGAGCGTCAAAAAACGACTCAGGATGCAAAGCCGGCCATGGGGAAAGGTTCGGGACCTCTGGGGGTCGACGAAATGAAAAAAACATTACGTCGGGGGGCTGGGGAGGGTGTCGGGGGCGGCAAAGATCCCCAGAGAGCCAGCGCAATAAAAAAGATCAAGGCGGAGGTGTTTCGTGTTTTTCGGCCTCGAGGGGCCCCCGCCGGGCCCCAGGAGCGTCAAAAAACGACTCAGGATGAGAAACCGGCCCTGGGGAAAGGGGCGAGACTCCTGGGGACCCCGCACTGAAAAAATCACGACATCGGATCTCAGGGGAGGGGGGTGATGACTAAGGGGGGGTGGATATCATGGCGTGGGCCATGATATTTCCACAGATTTCGCGGCGCCTCTTCTCATTTTATTGCGTCCCTGGTCCCCCCCTTGGGCCGCGCACACGCCGCCGGCCATGATTTGCGCCCCCCCCCTCTTGGACGCCCCCCTCTTGGCCGCCCCCGATGAGAGTGTTCTAAAAGCCTTCTGCGGTCTGCAAGAAGTGTTCTTCAGAGGACATTTCTGACCGAGGTCGTCTTGGTTGAGCGTATCGGGCTGATGTTCTGAGAGCACTGCATTTGTACTCGGAACGTTCTTGGGTTCCAAGACCGTGTCGTGGTAGGCCTACAGGACGGCCGGGACGGTCGGCCCCTGCTCAAGAAGAGGGCGGCAGCCATGCCCCGACGCCACTGTCGGCGACTCCCCCTCCTCCCCCAGATCCCCTCGCGACGTGAAAAAAATCACGGCGGGAGGTTTTCTTGGCTATGTTCGGCCCGGGGGGCCCTCGCCGGGCCTCTCGGGACTGTCAAAAGACGACTCCGGATGACAAACCGCTCCCGAGGAGGAGGAGGAGGAGGAGGAGGAGGAGAGGAGGAGGAGGAGGAGGAGGAGGCGGAGGAGGAGGAGGAGGAGGAGGAGGAGGAGGAGGAGGAGGA